CAAACAGGATTATAGATCGCAGCATTATGAGCGCTCCTCGATAAAATTCAGATTGATCTCGGCGTCTCTCGGTCGGCTTTTTCGACGAGGAGGCGGCCGGGAAACTCGTAAAAGCAAAACCACGTAATTCTCGTGTATTCGAATGGCAAATGGGGGGGGGGGGACGAATCCCGTTTGTTTTACCACATCATCGCATTTCGATCGCGTTACCGCGCACCGTATAACTTTCTCTTTAAACACATTCTCGTCACGAGGTATGGCCTCGTTAAGCACTAATGGGGAAATATATTTTATATTCGCCGGTATACGCATTAAGCGGATGTCACATATTATTCGTTGAGGATGATATGACGGCAGAATGAATTCATCGCCAAGGATTAGATATATAACTCAGGAGTAAGCGAGGGAAAGATTGGCCTGGCCATAACTCACGTAGTCGTATTTTACGTCTCTTTTTGCTCACGTCTCGTGGGAGCGATTAGATTGCTTGGATTATTCACGATGGTTTCCCACCGATTCATAGTTACCGAGACGTATGAAGAAAGAGTTGGCATTGTTGACTCATATAATTTTCTCGCGTGCGTGCATGTGTTTAACGGTGTTAATTCGTCATTCTGTGTTGTTCAGACATTAATTCTCCATCGTAATTTATCACATTACTAATCTACAATTCACGCAAGAGACGTTTTCCAAAAAAAAAAAACGTTACGTTAGTTAATCTCTAGCAAGCTTACGTAATCCATTAGTAAGCTAAAAACAGAATCTGACGCTATTTTAATCAAAATATAGCAAAAAATAATTATTCAACAGCTTTGATCGAAGATCAAAACCTATCAACTAAATTTCATTTCATTTTCAAAAAAAACTGTCAACTAAATTTTATTTCATTTTCAAAATCTATCAACTAATTTGTGTGGATGTTTTAATTAAACGGTCAGTCGCATTTTCAACAAAAAAAAAAAAAAAAAAAAAAGCGAAAGATGCTTAAGAAACGCCGGGACATAATACTTTGTAACAATTGAATTGGTAATGTACGTTAGTTTATACAGCGGTGCAGCTGCTTAGTCGGCAGCAAGAAAGGGAGGGAACGTACTCGGTATCGGAATCGACCGACTTTCGAATGCGACGTCCGGATTTATCGTTCTTGTGTGAAACTCGCTGAGGATCATACAGCACCGGGGCCCAGGATTTATTGGGCGAAGCGTACGTCCGCCTCGGCGAAAGGGAGGGATGCATCATTGATGCGGGGAGGAGGGGGGGGGGATGGAGCGCCGCACGGTCGTGCTTTACTTAATCTATGAATCGCCAAGCACCGCAGAGTTCGACGTTTCAAAAAGAGGCGCGGATTCATTCATATGTATGCCGCGTAACCCAGTTCGAAATCAATTCTATCTCGAGAGGCGTGTGGCGTTTGTCTCGAAAACTTGGACGCGCCGCTTCTGGACACCGGCCGGCACTCGCGAGTGCGCTAACGATCTCTCAGAAGCACCCTCTCTCGTGAGCGAGAGGGTGCTCCAAAAATTTTCGGCCAGCATCGATAGTTGATGTAATGTTAATCTCAAGATGCTGCAAACAGCATCATTCATTTTCTTCTATGATACTCTCTGTATCTTGAGCCAAATTTTTTCTCTGCCAAATTTTCTCTCAAATTTGATACTTGTTAAGTTAAATTTTTGCAATAATTAACGTGCATTTATCGTCATTGATTTATCGTTACCGATGATCGATACTAATTTTTCCATATTTCATATTATATTAATCATCGGTCGCCATAAAATACATACGATACACGATACGATTATTTACATTTGTAAGATTGACTTTAAGTAATAATAGAAAGCTGGTAAATAAATGAATATTTTTATTATAATATTATATTTCAATTTCAGCTTACTATTCTTCCTATTATTAATACGCTTGACAGGAATGGATGATAAGGAATGGAAAGATAGTTGAAATACGTTTGGCAGCAAGTGTGTTAAATTAAGTTTTAAATTACTCTTCTTTCATGTTTATTCTTACACTTGTTCATTATAAATTACGCGTGTGTATTCATCCTTGAGAAATCTTATTTCCATATCAAGCTTATTTCGACATCGGCAACATCGAGATATCACCTGTGTTTATTTTACCGATTAACTTAACTCGCAGAGTAGCGGATAGATATTTGATTTCTAAATCATGTTTACTGTCAGCGTTCGCCGGAAGCTCATCGATGGTTACGATTCGACCTGACGATGTATTGGAAATCTCGAGTCGAATCGAAACCGCACAGGAAGCTGTACTTGGCTAGAGCTTAATTAAATTCAACGCTTAAATGTCTATTGGAGTTTGAATCACAATCGCAAGCGAATAGTCGAGGAGCTCTCTGGCGCTCCTGATTCGTTCGTCTTTGAAGTTAAATTAAAATAAATAACTCGGCCATCCGATTATCGGGAAAGACGCACTTTGGGAAAGCTTAATATGATCCGCGCACAAAAAAAGGGGGAAAAGATATAAAGAGAGAAGACGGAGGTTTTCCGTGGTGGTGGTGGTGGTGGATTCTTACGGCACTCCTCGGGAAGCGAGAGGAACAAATGCCCGTGGAGAATTTCTTTTCGTCGTTGCAGTGAACATCGACTGGAGCGATGGAATCGATTTGATATAGACGGAACGATTATCGCTGAAAACCCCCATCGGTTGACTTACATTAATTCAGGATCAAAGCCTTCAACGAGCTGGAGCAAAGTGCTCTCGGCCGGCGAGGGAAACCTCTTTAAAATCCAAGAAACGAGCCCGGGACATTGTTACATAAGGAGACGAAATCCTTTGTAACACCGCGAGGGTTCATAATGAGCGGATAAAAGACGAGGCAGGCCGAGGCCGCCTATCGAGATTTCATCGATTACAATACGCCACGCTCGTGGGAACAGGGATTCTCGATGACCGTTACCCTCCTGGAAGTGCAACTTAACTCTTCGCGCTCCAATTACCGTCGGGAGTCGAGGAGGTTTTTCCCCCGGTCGGCTGACCCCTTTCGCTTATCATGCATATCAGATCGACGAGAACGCGAAAACTCTCTTTTTAATTGCCAACGAAGACGTCCAGCGAAGATATCCTATTGGATGAATGGTACTTGAAGGAACGACTCCGTTATTATGCTAATGTGCAATCAACAAAGATATCCGCCGATCAATCACTTCGTTACGATTATACGATTCTATATTCTTCATTCCCTCTGCTTCAATCTTTCCTTCAATCAAAAATTATTTTTGAAATAAATATACTTACTTTATTTATTACATATCTATTCTAAAATATATATATTTTTAAATTTATATTGATTTATTAATATCTATACTATCTGTATATCTTGATATATATATATATATATATATATATATATATATA